ATTACATGATAGGCCACGTAAGTGCCAAAGAAGAATTTGAAATGTAGAAGCAAATATGCTTTGATTTAAGCATTGCTTGCTTAAGTCATCTCTCACCTCATATTAATCAACAAACTAGGGCTGTTTAATACAGACCAATTAACTGTTACAACTCACTTAAAAGTCCTCATGAAATATGGTCCAGCGTTTTCAAGGACAGATAATTCTACATGGTTAAATAGAAAACACTGCTATTAAGTAACTTATGATATATTTAAGTGATTAATTCTTTAAAAAATGCGTTATTAAAATGGAATTTTTGTAATAAAATTACAGTACAGTAAATTTAGGATACTGTCTCTTCAGAGAAGGGGAAAATAAACAAATAGAATAGTGCTATTAACCAGGAGTATAGAAAGATATTTAACCGATGTGCTTTGGACTTTAGTAGGAGTATCATATTTACATATCAAGAAGTTGTAGAAGCAACTGATTAAAGTGTCATTGCAAAAGTTACAGAAGACCTTCGCCTGAACAACATCCTCTTTTGCAAATATTATGATGTGGAAAAACCCATGCTAAGAGGGTTTCTAGATGTCATTTAAATGAATCAGATAATTTAATGGATAAAGCCATTTCCTACAATGCTCTAATATGCTAAATGCACTGTATTAATTAATAAGTAGCTAGCCCTACCTATGGAAGGAGGTAATATCCTTGATTAAGAGTCATGCAAGTAGCCCGAGCCAGTTCGGCTCAGTGGTTAGAGCGTAGGCCCACGGACTGAAGGGTCCCAGGTTCGACTGCGGCCAAGGGCACATACCTTGGTTGCAGTCGCCATCCCTGTTGGGGCCAGTGTGGGAGGCAACAGATCGATGTGTCTCTCTCACATTGATGTGTCTGTCTTGTCTGTCTGTCTCCCCCCCTCCCCCCACTCTCTCTGAAAAGCAATGGAAAAACATCCTCGGGTAAGGGTAAGAATTAAAAAAAAAAAAGCCATGCAACTAATGCCCAGTGAAGGTAACATCAACCAAATGGAAACTTACCTTTGTTTCCAGTCACTTTCACAATAAACATACTTAAAATACTGACCTCTCCACTGCACTTATTCACCACGTGAAACCGTGTGGTGCACTGGGGTTCCCAGCTTATTCCATCTGAAATGGCCTTTCCCTGAATCTTACAAGTGAGGATTTTCCACAGATTCATCTTGAGAGGTTGTTCAATGAAGATTATGTAGTTCTCTGTCATTCCTAAAAGGTTCCAGCAAACATGAAAATGTTACCTGGTGAACTAGAGTTGTCTGAAATGTGACAGTTATGGGGACATGTCTGAACGCTGGCACACAGGACTGCTGACCTAGACAAGGCGAGCAAGAGTCAGTTCTTCACTGTTTCCCAGCTTTGTTATACAGATTTCCTGTTCTTACATAAAAAAGAGAACTGCTTAGAGCAGTTTGGGTTGAGATCCTCAACTAGCTTTTTTTATCGTTTTTTTCTTTCTCTTAAAATTGTTTTGGTTTAGAAACAAAGTAAAGAAGCATAATATGAAAGTGTGATTTATGATCTGAATGCTTATTCCATAGTCCTTTTGGTATTTATACTGAGGTAAGGATCCAGGAGCAGACTAACTATAAAGGTATAGAATGCAGAAGATAACTATTCTAAGAAAAAGCTGAAGCAATCTATATAGAATATGAATTTCCCCCAAAAAATATAGTCAAGATCTTTTCATGTATTATTATTTGTGGCCTTTAAAGTTACCTAAAATTTTGAATCCTGTCAATTAACTGTTATGGTCAAATGGTTTTTTTCAATTAAGACTTTGCCTTTTTAGAGCTGTTTTAGGATCACAATAAAATTGAGGGGGAAGTATACAAATTTCTCATATACCCCGTCCCTACACCTGCATAGCCTCTGCATTATTGGCACCCCCACCAGAGTGGTACGTTTCTTATAATTGATGAACCTACATTGACACATTATAATCACCCAAAGCCCATAGTTTACATTACAGTTTATTCTTGATGTTGTCAATTAATTTTTTAGTAACTGCTTGCACTAAAATAATTACCCTTTCAAGCAGTCAGTTGGCTAGGGTAAGAACCATAATAAACTTAACTGGTATTAAAATGCAACCTTGGTCTCATTGTCACCATACTCAGATAAACTGTATTAACATAGTACTTGCCAAAGCTAGTCCCTCTGCTACAGTGACAGTAAAGCAGGCCCCATGCAATCTGCGTCATCTCTGGACTCACCAAAGCTATGGTAGTAAGAAGGTTTCAATCTCTCCGCAGAAGCAATGGAACATATCACTTGGGCTCCATGGATTGTATCCCCAAGGTCCGTCTTCTCTGGAGGAACCCGAATAATATTATAGCAAGAACCTGGAAAACAGAAAGTTTTGTCTTAACTGTTTTACATACATTCTAAGAATAAAAGATAACCCTTGCATTTATGGACTAGGCAAAAGCAGTTAAGAGATGTATGCAATATGCATGATACCTATATTTCATGAAGGGTTATTTCAAACAGACTTAGGTATCAAACATATATGAACTTTATGAAAGTAATTAGTAAGGTTTTGAAACAACACAAAGTAATCCACCAACAGTTTATTATATTTTAATGTTCTCAGACAGTTACCTCTCTCTCCCTGAAGCTGAACTCAATCTCTACTTAATAAGAAAAATAAGGTAACAGCCAGGAATACTCTCAAATTCTATTTGTCCCTCTCCCCACCTCCCAACCCCAACAACTACGATCTCCATTTGCATCCATGTCCAAATCCTTCCCTCCAGGTTGCTTTAGGCCCCATCTCATCCTGTCTCATTAATATTCATTCATGCAATCATCCATCTGACTATTACTACTTCTTTAAGAATCAACTCAGGTACCCACCCACTCCTCAAGTAGCCTTCCCTGAATCTTCCCCACCCCAAAGTCACTTGGTGCCCCTCCTTTATGCCCTGATAATCTCTTATATAGCCTAGCACTATTATAATTATCTACTTGCTTGTCTGCTTCTACTGGGATAAGCAGATCAACAACCAGAGCTTTGCAAGAGCAGACTTATCTGCTTCACCTACACATTCTCAGTACCAAGAAAAGATTTCGCATTTAGTAAGTACACTAAAAATAACTATTGATGTATTGACCAACAATATGTCTGTTAAATCATTCAATAAATGAATAAATGTCGAGGTCATATTCAGTTATCTTCCTGGCAGTATTAGAATTGTCAGCGTAGGTCCTGAAGAACTTGGGGAACTTAGAGTATTTTGCAACCATGAAGCTTCTTTTGGAACAAGATACCTATACAGTTCTCTAGTCATTTATTCAACAACTACTTGTTGGGTTTCAACTATATTCCAGGCACTCTTCTAAGTGTCATAAGTACCATATTCTAGATACTTGTATATAGCAGTGTACAAAATAGACCAAAGACTCTTCTTTTATAAAGCTCAAGTTCTAATGACTCTTACAATAAGTAAAAATATAATGCATCAGATGATGATAAGAACTGTAATGGAAAATAAACCAGGAAATGGGGATCCGGAGTAAGTGTATAGGGATGGGTGCTGTTATTTACAATTTTAAATATGGTGGTCTGGGAAGAGTTCACTAAGAAGATGACATTTGAGTAAAGATCTGAAGAAGGTGAGGAAGAAAGTCTTGGAGATGTCTGGGAGAAATGACTTCCAAGAGGAAAGAAGAACAAATGCAGAGTCTCGGCCAACAGTAAGTTTAGAGTATTCAAGTACACAGCAGCAAGGAGGCCAGTGTGGCCCTGTCATATTGAGCAAGGAGAACAGTCTAGATGCTGTGGAGTGGGTTAAAAAATAATGGATGAGCCCTGGCCGGTGTGAATGGATTGGTTGGAGCTTCATCTCGTGGACCAAAGGGTCGTGGGTTCCATCCCTAGTTGGTGCAAGGACATGACTGCCAAACCATGTTTCTCTCTCACATCGTTGTTTCTCTCTCTCCCTTCCTCTCTCTCTAAAATCAATAAAAATGTATCCTAGGGTGAGGATTTTTTTTTAAATCAAAAAAAGGGAGCGACTGATATGCTGAGAATAAACTTAAGTGGGATAAGGGCAGAAGCAAGGAGATCAGTTAAGAAGCTATTATAATAATTCAAATGAGGGAGGTGGTGGCTCAGACCAGAGTTGTGGCCACGGGGTGATATGAGGTGGCTGGATTTTAGATATATTTTGAAGGAATTTTTGAAGTTACTTTTTCACCAATTGAATGTGGACGTGACAGACAGAGATATAAAGGATGATTCCAAAGTTACTGTCCTGAGAAATTGGAAGGATAGAGTTAATATCAACTGAGGTGAAAAATATTTTAAGCAGAGAAAGTGTAGGGGAAAAGATGAGTCTGGTTTTAGACAAGTTAATTTTGTAATGCCTAGTAGACATCCTAGTAAAAACAGTGAGCAAGCACTTAGATATAAAGTACTGGGGAGGTCTAGCTTGGGGATACAGATGTGTTTTGAGAGCTCATGTTACATAAAACATCATGATTTCATACAGTGATGGGTTATAAAAGAATTAAAAGTCGCCCGGCCGGGCATGGCTCAGCGGTTAAGCGTCGACCCAGGATCCAGGCGATCAGGGTTCGATTCCCGGTCAGGGCACATGCCCAGGTTGTGGGCTGCAGCCGATCAATGACTCCCTCATCATTGATGTTTCTATCTCTCTCTCCCTCTCCTTTCCTCTCTCTGAAATCAATAAAGATATATTTAAAAAAAAAAAAAAAAGAATTAAAAGCCAAGTTCCATAGTTCCAAGAGTACAAAGTGATTATATATTTTACAATATTACTAAAAACTGGTTTGATTAATTGTTCTAGAAATTTTTTATTAATTTTAAAAAGCCTTTTTAAATATCTGGAAAAGCTAAAACAATTAAAAGCCTTTTACTTACTAAAGTTAGAAATCACTAGCAAGCACTTTATTATAATAAGAATCTCTAAATTTCACCAAAACTAATCCTAGGTTGTTGAGCTCCCTGCAGCTACATGTACATTTGAGTTCCAGTTCAAATACCCCTCACCAAGCCAAATAATCAAGCAAAAAAAGAAAAAGCAAATCCAGTTTCAGTTGAGATTAAAAGATAAAAGAATTTCCTGTCTCAGCACTTGGATAATTGACGATTACTCAATTCACTAAATTTAAACACTACTAGTTGATGAACTGTTCTAATTGCAAGTCATGATGGCATGAGGAAGGCTGACAGACACCCAAGAAACACTCAGCAGAGAAATGTCCAGAAGAATGACCTCTGCCCAGTACTGTGAGCCTAACTCTGGAGACTCTTCAGGACTTTCTAAACAGCACCCTGAGGTGACATAACCAGCACAGCTTCTGATAATGGATGGTACGGTTTCTCAAAGACCCAGAGGCCACCTGTGCCAAAATCACCTGGGGCCTTGTTAAAATGCACCAAGGGGTGAGGGAGTTGTAAATTCTTGGCCCCTTTTCAGGTCTACTGAACCACAATCTCTGAATATGAAATGCAGTAATCTACATGGCTAGGAAGCATTCCAGATGATTCTTAGACACACCACAGGCTGAGACAGATGGATCTAATGACTATGTTAGAAAATATAATTCAGAATGGTTAAACAGTATTTCTGTTATGAACAAGCTGCAGTTATCCACTTGATTAACAGAGATAATTTATTAAGAAATGGATTTTTGTAGTGATCAAAAAAGATAAATGGACAAAAAACTGCTGAGTCAGTATATTCATTTGCTGAAACATTCTACCTAGAAAGGATGTTTGCTGCTTCCTGTTACAGCTTTGAAGAATACATTCCTACTGAGGTCAGGTAATAAAGAAGAGAGAGACCTGGGTACCCCATCTCTACTTGAGCCAGTAAAAAACAACCCTTCAGTATTAATTTTCATATACACTCACATGTATAAATATGGAGAGGTAGAGATGAACAACTCACAAAGCCAATTGTCCACCTAAGTTACACATTAACCTGTTCAAAAGTTTTATAGGTTATAGATGAAAGACTGATTGACAGCTAAGATAGTCAGAAATATCTGATACTTAAACACGTTCCTTTCAAAGAGAGACATGTGTACCCAGATATAGGAAGGTAAATGTGCATGTCCCTGACTTGTCTGTACTCAGAGATGAATAATTATTAAGGTGGCCTAACAGAGTGTGTGTTTCAGACTTGGTGCCAAGTCTGGTTTTAGACACCTAGGAGGTTGCCTAAGCAAGTATCTTAAACTTTCCTAAGGTTCACTGCCCTTGTCTGTAAAATGGAGCAATAATAGTACCTTTCTCAAAGAGGTGTTATAGGATTAAATGACAAAATATATAGAAAAATGCTTAACACCAGCACATACTAAGCATTCAGTAAATGTTAGCTCTCATTATTAGCTATTAGAACTTTCTGGAGCAAATTAGTGGGCAGTTGGGGAAGTATGTGGATGACCAGGAAAGAGATGTGATCTACGTGGTTGTAAATGCAACAACAGCAACATAACCTTAATTTACTTTGTAGTTATTATTCCCATTATAAAAATAAATTACACCCTAGGTGATAGACAAGGTATCTTCCCTATATCTTTGCTGCAGAATTCTACATTTCTTAAACTTATAACATGCACTTTGTAAAAATTCAAGTTTGAGAAATGCATATTGAAAATCCCTACAATGCTTGTGAGCCAAAAAGCACAATGGAACCTAAAAATGTGAGTGATGCTGAGGTCAAATAGGAAATCAGCTGCTAAGAATATTGCAAAAGGACCACAGAGTACATACTCAGTGATAAATGATGCACATTACATTCAGTAATGCACTTCGGAGATTTTTCTCTGAACCTTTCAAATGAAGTTTCATGTGTTTACATCTTCACCTTAATGGAACCCCAGGAAGAGAGTTAATTCCTAATTATTTCTAAAAAGACCTCCATCCACTTTACCATGTAGCCCATAGGAGTTCCCCATGTTGTATGCAGTTCCATCTGGGTCATAGTGAGGATGTGCAGTTGCTCCATTCACAGCAATGAATTTGCTCCAGTCTACCTGCAAATTTAAGACCATCAGAGACTTTTAAATGTTATACGGGCAGATCTCTATTTAGATGCATAGATAGTAAAGATGTGTCAAATACCTTAAAATAAGGTATGAAAACTATGCCTAGGCCCTCATATCTCACCTCTGAGAAATCAAAATCATTTTTCCTATTAAAGAAAAATAAACTAAGGCCAAAAAAAAACCAACCCCCCCCCCC